CCTCGTGCGCGTCTTCCGCGTGTTCAAGCTGTCGCGGCACTCGCGGGGGCTGCAGGTGCTGGGGCGCACGCTGCGGGCCTCGCTGCGCGAGCTCGGCCTCCTCGGCCTCTTCCTCCTCGTGGGCGTGGTGCTCTTCTCGAGCGCCGTGTACTTCGCCGAGGCCGAGGCGCCCGGCGCCGCCTTCGGCTCCATCCCCGAGAGCTTCTGGTGGGCCGTGGTGACCATGACCACGGTGGGCTACGGGGACATGGCGCCGGTGACGGTGGCGGGGCGGCTGGTGGGCTCGCTGTGCGCGCTGGCCGGCGTGCTCACCATCGCGCTGCCCGTGCCCGTCATCGCCTCCAACTTCAGCCACTTCTACCGGCGGGAGCTGCGCGGCGGCGGCGACGACGACGGCGACGAGGAGCTGGAGGAGGAGCTGGAGGTGGAGGTGGAGGTGGAGAAGGCGGGCGGCGCGGCGGGCGGCGCCAAGGTCAACGGCGCCGTGATGGGCGACGAGGCGAGGGTGGGCGATGAGTGGGGCGGGGGCGATGACGCCGCGACGGGGAAGGAGACGAGGAGGGGCAACGGCCCAACGGTGGGCRAGGAGTCAACGATGATCAACGACGCAACCGTGGGCAGTGACCCAAGGAGGGTCCGTGGCCCAACCGTGGGCAATGACCCAACGATGATCAATGAGCCAATAATGAGCAATGATCCAATGATGAGCAATGATCCAATGATGGGCAATGATCCAATGATGGGCAATGATCCAATGATGATCAATGATCCAATGATGGGCAATGACCCAAGGAGGTTCCATGACCCAACAATGGTCAATGATCCTATAACAGTCCACGACCCAACGATGATCAATGATCCAGTGATGGGCAATGATCCAATGATGGGCAATGACCCAAGGAGGGTCCGTGACCCAACCATGGTTAATGACCCAACGACGATCAATGACCCAAGGAGGTTCCATGACCCTACCGTGGTCAATGACCCAATGATGATCAATGACCCAATGATGATCAATGATCCAATGATGATCAATGATTCAATGATGATCAATGACCCAATGATGATCAATGATCCAAGGAGGTTCCATGACCCAACCACGGTCAATGATCCAACCATGGTCAATGACCCAACGACGATCAATGATCCAAGGAGGGTCCATGGCCCAACCATGGTCAATGACCCAATGATGATCAATGACCCAATGATGGTCAATGACCCAAGGAGGTTCCATGACCCAACAATGGTCAATGATCCTATAACAGTCCACGACCCAACGATGATCAATGATCCAAGGAGGTTTCATGACCCAACACTGGTCAATGATCCTATGATGATCAATGACCCAATGACGGTCAATGA